ATACTGTGTAATTTTATGAAATAAATAAAAAAATGTCATACCCTCGTCCTCTCCGCTGTGCTGCGTGTCAGGCGGCATGGAGAAACAGGTGCAGGTCCTCGTCAGCTTTGTATACTCGCAAAACTTTAGTGTTTGTAATCTGTAATATAAATTATAATTATTATAAATAAACGACCTATAAGGCGTTTATGCAGTGTATCCTAGTTCTGAATCCGAGAAATGACAGTCCGAAATGTCACAGAGATCATATTATCTTTAAGTGTACAAACGATATTCGTATTTTGTCGGCTTTGAATCGGACTTGGTGGACAAGTGGGTCCGAGTTTTCTGGATTTGTGATTTGTTTTTCTAGCAGTGCCCGTACGCACTAGGAATTGCATTTTAGTTTCGAATTTAATTAAATCGGCTAATGCAATTTGTTTCGGATATATTAGAATTTAAATTACTGTCAAGAAAGTTTTTTAACTTTAATTTCCAATTCAATTTCGTTGTTGTCTTTAATGTATCCTTTGTCCAAAAAACGTTTTATGTTTTTCTTTTTTTATGTTTTTAATTTAAGTATATCATCACAGTAAAATAATAAAAAATGTTAAGTATTGATGAAAACCCTATAAGCTTTTTAAATATGTCGATAATAGTGATGGACAGAGAGACAGAGAGAGAGAGAGAGTTGAGCTTTATTTTTTCCATCCTCCAAGTTGGTACTTACTTGTTCATATGAATGACAGTAGTTGTAATGGTAACCAGTACGCATGTCAATGCGCATACCAGGCAACATGCGCCAACCACTTTGATCTAAAACAATCAAAATACGAAAGATTTAGTCATAATTTTTTATATAAAAAACCGGCCACATAAGTTTGCTTATACCCGTTTTTGAAATTAGGGATGCAACATCGCCCATATGAAACATCGATATTCTTAAAAGTGTAACAACTATGCTAAAAACATTGAAGTTTATGAACGATATTTCGATTTTTTTTCGATATTTTTGTCACCATTTAAATATATATGTATACCGTATAACTGTGAACTCCGTCAATTTGCAATCGCACGTCAAAAGATTACAATCTCACCGAACCTACCGTTAGTTTATAATCTCAGGCGTTATATCATAAACTGACGGAGTTCACAATTTACGGTGACATATACCTATATATCGAATAAATACTATTTTTGAACAGAAATTAAAACAAATAAGTATAATAATCAAATTTATATTATTAGATGAAGATTTTGCGCGCGTAAGTTTGTATTGCAGAGCGAACGAAACGCTAAATAGAAAAATCTGTGCTTATGACTGAGAGAAGTATCTGTTTAAGTGCGTAGCTGTAGATCACGGACGGGACGGTAGATGGCGCTATAGTATAGTATCACATAGACGATAAAATATCGCTTTTAGTGAGTGATGTATTAACAATGTTTTGGGTTTCAACATCGATGTTAAAACATCGATATTTATGAGCGATATATCGATGTTTGAAAAAAATCGATCTATCGTTTGCATATTTAATAAGTTCGTAAGTGCCATGTTTTGTTAAAATCGGTTAAGTGAAAGTGGATGCAATTTAATAAACCTAATTCATCCCCTAATTTGCCACCCTTAAAGGTGGAATATTTTCTTGAAATTTGAATGGGATTACTACAGAGATACCCCCTTTACAACAAAAAAAGAATCACCTAAATCGGTTTACAAATGTCGTAATAAAAAAAACACATAAAAAAATACAAATGAATTAAGAACCTCCTTCTCTTGAAGACGGTTAAAAAATAAAATAAAAGGCAAACAACATACTTTTCTTACCATATAGCTGTATCGGTTCCGTCTTCTGGCCAGACTCATGATGCATACTCCGGTAAGGACCAGCTGAAGCAAAGGAAAATTATTTACTTAATATCATTTTCACTTCTCACGCTCTTAAAGTTCGTATTTATGCTGGGTGTAGGCTCCATAAAATAGGATTTTATGCTCTAGTGCATAAAATAAAAATAAACCATCACATTAAATATCTAATTGTTGTAATTTTACATTCAATTTTAATTAAATAACCGTTTATTTGTAATATTACTGTTTAATATCCTCGCAATCGAAGTGAAAAGCAGACTGTATTACTTGTTCATAAAACCCATTTTACTCTACCCTCGACTTAAGTATAACATGTACTAAGTAATATACTCGTCTCGGGTAAAATGAGCGTTTTGTGCCCTTGTTGCACAATCTACAATTTCTAAAATACAAAAGCTTCGGAGTTATTAGGGGGCTTTACACAGACACTCTATCGTGCGTAATTGAGCGCGCGTATAAAGACGTTGGAAGGAAAATACTTACTTAGCCACACGTACTAAGAGTAAACCTACTTGTTCACATATATTTTTTTAATAGTTTAATTTGTCATTTCCAAAAGGTGCGTCAACGCTAGACGAGTCAAGCACGATCGTTGCCGCTCTGCTTGTCGTCATTCGCAGCGTCAAGTATGGACGTACAATGAGCCTCCAACGATCACAGTTGTCGAACGTTTTCCGCAGTGTGCTCGCGACTTGTGGTAAACATGGACGATTTAGCTATTGCGGCTACTGTTGCAACGACTATTATGGCCTAAATCAATAAAAAAAAACTAGAAGGCCAGGACCATGAGGATCAACACAATTATATAAGGACAGCCCCCGTAGTATGCCACCTCAGTAAAGCTATTATATCCACATTTAGCAGTCAAAATCGAGTGATAAACCGGCATTTAAAAATTTTATCACAATAGCGAACATGGCGAGCATCGTAATGTCACATTTTTATGTCAAAGATTAACAAAGTGCCAAACAAAGTGCGAGCTGCTTAAAAGATTTCCACAGTAATTTTATCAACGTAAAAATTGAGCGCGACAAACGAAATGAAAAGACATTTTTTGTTTCATGGTTTTCGCAGCGATGATTAAACGACAAAGATAGGTATATACGCAATTTCATATCGTTGTCCTTGTTCTTCAAAATGTATAACAATAGGTCATTACCAAATAAGCAAACTTAGATTTATCAACTGAATTAAATATTGTCACTGGGTGGTTTATTACACATATTCTGCCATGCTACGGCCACAGATCGAGTCAACAAAATATAGATTTGTTAACCATTTTGACATGTCAACAAGCAACTTTCTAATTTCAGAATTTTATTCGTATGGTATCATCAACAAAGCGTCTGTCATTAAACACTTGCGAATGCGATGCAAATGCTTTTCAAAAAACCGACAATTAGCGAAGCACAGTCGAGCACGAGCCGAACGCTCGGCGCGCGCTCGCTCAGGGCTCGTAAATCAGTCCCATACAGAAACAGAGACGAAGTAAAGGTCATCCATGCCTGGCAACTCATCAGGCAAATGGGTCTTATATCACTTTTAAATATCAACTCTCGTTTGCGCTGAAATCACAAATTAGAAAACTGAGTACAGCGCCAACAACTGACCTGTGTGTACGTCTCCGTATATTCCAAATACATATATTATGTATTTATTGTAATAAAGATAATATAGCTAACAATGGGGGGCTGTGTCTGTCGGTGGTGTGGGAAAAACAGCAAAACATCTAATTACAAAACAAACGGAATCACATTTCATCTATAATTAAAAATGTAATTTTGTAATTATCGTCCATTATAGCAAAGCTAAAGTTAAAATGATCGATTTGAAGTGAAACAATTGACGACACCCGTCAATTGTTTCGAATTCGAGCTGGTCAATCGGAGCGCAATTGTCACCGTAATGATTTGGCAGAATAGTTTTTAAACAAATTAAATGACATTTCATCTCTTTTTCTGGTTATATACTTGATGATCAGTTCACACTACACGAATTAGTACTCGGCTTGTAAGCGTAGACGCACCTTAATATTTTGTCATCTAAGTCTTACCATAGCTGCAGGAACGGCAGCAGGTACGGTCTCCAAATGGTGCGGGCTGGCAGTGTACGCCCTGAGCAGTATATGCTGCGCGGCCAGCAGCCCTCCCAGGGCAGCGGCCAGAGCTCCACAGCCGACGCACCACCAAGCATACTTTCGACGACGGCAGGTTGTGTCATTGTTGCATCCCACTGATGCTGGAAACCAGAAAAAAGTATGTTTTAAATAATAATAAACAATAAATTAATTCCTTCGAAAAAAGTACAGGGAAATAACGGCCACACATCGCCACTACACACGCCAGCACATCAACCTACACATTGACGTATCTTATTCCGTTGCACAAAAATGTGTAGTCTGATGTGCCGTTGTCCGTACAAACAATCTGAAACTAAAAAGTTAACAATCGGTTACCAGATAGTGCGCGAAACCGGATTCATCCTCTAGTTTACCACTCTAAGGGTCGTATTCTAGAACTCTACTCAATGCTCAAGTCAGGACTTGAGTATGATTCAAAGCACTAGAAATCATACCCAAGTCCTTGCCATTAGGGTCGTATTTCCAGTGCAATCCTGACTTGAGCATTGAGTAGAGTTCTAGAATTCGAACCTTAGGGTCGTATTCTAGAACTCTACTCAATGCTCAAGTCAGGATTTGAGTATGGTTTAAAGCACTCGAAATCATACTCAATTCCTTGCCATTAAGGTCGTATTTCCAGTGCAATCCTGACTTGAGCACTGAGTAGAGTTCTAGAATACGAACCTTAGAGGTACAATATTTTCTTCAAATTTAAATGAGACCAATATATAGAAATAGAAATTATATATTCAATGTAAAGCACAGCACACATACAATTTACAAACAAAACAAAAACATAAAAAATAGAAGAAAGAAAGAAAGATAAGGGAGACAGGATGTGTGCTGTGCAGCCACTGAATCCGTCATCCACTCAGCTATTGCCGTCTCACTGAAAGTGTGGTACGACGCTGATTTTCAGTGGATATAGATTCACAAATCGTGTAACATATATACAACAATTCTTTATTAATTATATATTTTATTTTATAATCTCAAGTTATGGGACGAACATATAGTGTTCCTGGTGGTAAGTGACACGTCTAGCCATAACTTATAACGCATATCCATATCTTGAGCATTTGGTGACGGATCGGACGGATGGTGACGGTGGTGGAGGATCTTAGGGATGATGCGGATATGGAAAGGGAGCGCAGGGCATTGTCAGTTCGGGCGAACATGTTGGTTCGAAGATTTGCTAGATGTACGGATACAGTGAAGATAACATTGTTTAAGGCATTTTGTACAACACTGTACACGGCAAGTTTATGGTTCAAATATACCCGAAAATCGTACAAAGCTCTGCGAGTCCAATTTGATAATGCATTCAGGGCACTGTTACAGCTCCCGCGCTTTTGCAGCTCTGGCGAAAGAAAACTGCCTCGCTGTTGACCTGATTGCCCGATGATGTATACACTCGCACAAAGGCCAATTTCATTGTTAGTTATTAAGTATTAATCTAGTATAAGCTCTACTAACATTAAAATGGACCTTAAATGTTGTCTGAAGTAAATAAATTCTTATTATAACAGTTGTAGTGCCATTCAGAGATTTAAAGAAAAAGAAAATAATAACGGGCAAGTTACCAAAATACGGCGGCGGTGGCACATAGTGCTGGGCAACGTCCGCTGCGATTGTCGATTGAGGTGTTGACACTTCATATTGTACCACTTGCATAACACCGCAGGATTGCATTGCCTTTCTAACAATATTTTTTATGAGTTATTTCACGGTTATCGATTTATTAATATGTACCTATATTACCCATATTTATATTGCTATTTTTTGTAGAAACAATTGATTTATTATTTACTGTGTATTTTAATGTTTTTATAATTTGAAAACAACGTTACAAAAAGTCCACTTCCGCGACATATCTAAAAACTCGTAATTGAAAACAACTTTCGAATCTCCCGCCATTGCACAAAATCGATATTTATTACAAACACTCGGGAACAGTGATTTATGGGACACGGATTTATTATTATTTACATCACATTCCCTAAATGCGTTAACACAGGTAGAAAAAAACAATTCCTTTTTCTGAAAATTCGAGTCTTCGTCTTTTTGAAATCACTTATTGTTATTTTTCCCTCCTTTCTTGTTTTTACGTAAAGAAACACTGAATTTAACACTAAATATCATCGTTTCAGCTTTTATAACGAAAATTATTTATTAAAACACTATCTATAAGCAGTATTCATGTTGTTGTTAATAAAAAAACAGATTACATTTTGCTCCGTTTACAATGATAGGTTATGTGTAACAATGGCTCCTTTGCGCAGAAGCAGTAGCGGAGGGATGTGCAGGTAGTCTTGCATTTGTACAGTCAGTTTAAATTGAACTCTGACGTGTTGAGAAAAGAATTAAATTTCAAATGTTATTGTACAGGTATGTAGGTAAATTTTATTACTTTCATAATCAATCAACAGAACAATGTCAATGTTGTTCACGCTCTCTAAATCTGTCCTTAACTGGGTTTCAATTAATTGCGGATTTATATTAATTTCATATTTCGAAGGTTTAGAATAAGAATAAGAATAGTTCATTGCGTAAGCGCCGAGACACACCTGATATTAAAATTAAAATACAATATTATAAACGTTAATCTAAAATACTGTACTTACAACAAAAGTTAAAACATAATTATAATGTTTAAAAAAATATAATATGTTAATAATAAATGCGTGTCGCGGCGCACGCAAGCGGGATTTGCTCAGCTAATATCTACAGGCTGATAGATTTAGATATAGACAGCCTGTAGCGCTGGTTTACTTAATGTCAATTGACTTTTGGGACATTTGGCTGGTTGTCAAAACACGCAAGAAACTTTTTTTATAACTTCTTGAATTTTTTACCTTTTTCTATGGATTTTTTTGTTCCTTAAAACTGTTACAGAAGATAGAAAATGGAAACACGTTTTACTTAAATATTTTTTGTACAAAAAAAAAGATTTTTTTAATATGTTGAAATAAAAAATATGTTGTATTTCTAGCTTACCGTGGCAGACGCTATACCAACTAAGCCACGGAACGACCCAGCGGACCTCACGAATTTTTCTATGTGCTTGCGTCGTATCTTTGTATTTGGTTTTTTCAACGACTTTTAGTCGTAGCGCCATCTATGAGAAATCTATGAAAGTTTTATCACCCAGTTAGATATCTTTACAGTTACCAGCCCCTGGTGCGAGATGTCGCAATTCACTGTATTTTAAATTTTTATTGAATTTATGTTCAATAATTTTTTGTGAAATCGTTCCACTAGTTTGTTATAATTATTAATACAAAGATAGAACACTCAGAAAAAATTCTTTCGATCCGCCCGGATTCGAATCGACGTCTTCTAGCTTACCGTGCCAGAAGCTATACCAACCAACCACCTAAACTCACGAGCTTTTTCAACGACTAAACCAACGACTAAAAGTCTTTGAAAAAACCAAATACAAAGATACGACGCAAGCACATAGAAAAATTCTTTTTTGTACCTAATGGAATGTTTTACTTATTTGTCAGAGACCATAAGATAAATCAAAACGTAAATTATGGATTTTCGTAAACTCAAATACGAATACAATCTATTTATAAAGCATCTTTTAAAGCTTTCGTACATCAATGGCAGAATATTACTCAACCTTTTCAAAAAAAGAACACCAGCCATTTTGAAAAAAAAAACTGAGTCTCTTTTGCTACAGATACAGGTAGATATTTTTTTTTTTGTCAAAAATCCGTTGTTAGAATCTATTTTTATGAACACACAATGTTAGAATATTTCCTACATGTAACAGTTTCAACAATAGTGGGAATTTCTTTGTGGATCACCTGCTTGCTTTTGTGTGAATTTTTGTATAGAGAACTTTGGGATGGTTTTGCAATATATTTGTTGGAATAAAGCCTATTTTATATTTCACATAGTTCTAAAGGAAGGACGCTACAATTTATTTATTTATCTACAGGTTTCTCTCCATGAAAACTTTAAGGGGGAGACAGACATGACGTTAACTATGAACATATTAATGATACCCTCTCTAAAGTGGTTTATTGGTTTAATGCTAACAATTTATTGTTTAACGCCAAGAAGAAAAAGTGTGTTAAATTTGAATCATCTAAAGGGAAGTATGGAAATAAACAGAGGAAAGATAGACTTTGTTAATAAAGCAGTCTTCTTGGGAGTGACCTTAGACAGTAAACTTCAATGGTTCCCACTTATAATATATCTTCCCTGGCCAGCAAATTAAGCTCCGATGCATACGCAGTCCGCAGAATACGTGAACTTACCGATGTTAGTACTGCTAGACTAGTTTACTTTAGTTACTTCCATAGTATAATGTCCTACGGGATTCTCATGTCAGGTAAAGCGGCAGATATACAAACCACATTTGTATTGCAAAAACGAGCGATTCTTTCTGTGTATCGTTTAGGTTCTCGGGTTTCTTTCAACAAAAAAGTTTTAAGGAGATTGGTATCATGACTGTGGCATCACAATACATTTACTCAATTATTTTGTATGCCCGTAAATATATACATAATTTCATTTAAAAAAGACCTCTGTAGTATTAATTATTAACCTTAGAACTAAGTCCAAATTCATAGTACCACGATTTCGATTAACTAAGGTAAACGATTCTTTTATGGGGAACTGTATACGTTTTACTATAAGATTTCGGTACATGTATTAAGATTATCATTTCCTAAGTTTAAAAACCTACATTTTAAATTGATAAGTCATATTATAAAATTTAAGATTAAGTGTTGGATAAAGATGTATGGAAAGATGACATCACTCTAGATTACACTCGAATTAGATTCAAAGTGTATTCCATTGTATTTAAGTTTGTTTGAAAAAAGCATTCCCTATAGTTTCTTGCTCGTTTTTCTCAGAGAAGTTATCACAAGCAGTAGCTTAATAATTACAACTATTTTATTTAAAAAAAACCGACCTCAAAAGCTCGCGGAATTACACCTAATGGCTAAGTTTTATTTAAATCGGTTACCGGAAAGTGCGCGAAACTGCATTCATCCCCTAGTTTGCCACACACGGAAGTGAAATATTTTTTTCAAATTTTCTCTCTTTTTTTCTCTTTCCAAGAAAAATTGCCAGAGTAACACACACAAAGAAATACAGTCGAACTTCGAATCGGCTCTTTTTGACATCAGTTAGAAAGATATTCCAAACCTGCAATTCAAAATATTGTTACATTGAACATAAAGTCCAATATAAAAAAACCGACCTGAAAAGTACGTGAAATTACGTCTATTTGCTAAGTTTTATTGAAATATCACCTAGTTCGCCACTATACAGGACTTGACACTGGAGATAATAAAGATAGGTTCTCAGTAGATTGACTTACAATTATATGGACATCGGGTCCGCGCTAAAAAGTGTCCGAACTTATAGGGCGTTAAAATCGTATACAGAGCGTCATTCACGCTTTAGTCTTCGTTTGTTCGACTGACATCGAAGCAAGCAAAATTAGACAGTACTGCGATGACATTACAATTTAAATTCATTTTGGCTTTTCATGTTCCTTTACATGTCACTACGTTTAAATAGGTT